TGGCAACTAGCCATTCATGCTACCAACCAGGTGATGAAATGTACAATCTGTACTCTCCTTAATGCCAACAACCAAGTGATCAAAAATACGCCCAGTACTCCAAATTATACCTGAACATTACTCATGTCATTCATACATAAACATTCATGAGCATCACTCATGACAATCATACATAAACATTCATGACCATCATTCATGTCAACATTCATAAGCATCACTCATGTTAATATTCAAGAGCATCACTCATGACAACATCCATGAACATCACTCATGTTAATCAACATAAACATTCATGAGCATCACTCATGTTAATCAGCTTCAAAAGCTTCATTTACAGAGCTCTAGCTTCAAAAGCTTCATTTACAAAAGCTCCAGCTTCGAAAGCTTCATTTACAAAGCTCTAGCTTCAAAGCTTCACTTGCAAAGCTTCACCTACAAAGCTTCAGTGCAGGGTATACAAATACCGCCTCTGAACAACCGCCACTTCGGCCCATACATGGATTCAATTTGAAGTTTCCAGCCAATAGACTCTATTAACCGAAGACTTGGGGGACTACATTATGTACCATGTATTGGGCCTCATGAAAAATACTTGGGGGACTCTAGCCCATTATTTATGTATTGAGGAGCGAGCCATTATTTTATAAAAGGGACTCCCTCACCATCATTAGAGAGCATCAACTTTAGCCCATTACTTATGTATTGAGGAGCAAGCCCTTATTTTATAAAAAAGACTCCCTCACCATCATTAGAGCAGCATCAACTCTAGCCCATTATTCATGTATTGAGGAGCGAGCCCTTATTCTATAAAAGAGACTCCCTCACCATCATCAGAGAGCATCGCTGCCTAGTAAGCAACCGCCTCGCCGCGAACATCAACTCTAGCCCATCATTTATGTATTGAAGAGCGAGCCCTTATTCTATAAAAGGGACTCCCTCAACTTCAACGCCACAAGCCGAGCCAACCAAGACAACATAAGCCACAAGCTGAGCAACCTCGTAACATGTGATAGTTGAGCATCATTTCGGATTGGACACCGCCTTATATCGAGTATCAGTCCTAGATGACATCTAATTACTTCAACCCACACATGGACTGAATTTCAAGTCTTTAGCCAAAAGACTCTATTGACTGAAGACTTGGGGGACTACTATTTATACCATATTTATGGCATCTGTATTTAGATCTCGTACAAATACTCAGGGGACTTAAATGTAATTATGTAATAAAGGAAGGGCCAAATATGTAATAAGTGAGGAGCCCTTATTCTATAAAATGACCCCTCACCCTCACAATTGAAAGAGGCCATTTCCTAAGGCCCTTAACTCTTGGAACTCAATTCCCACCTTCCACCAAGGAATCCAATTCCTCCAAAAGGAGGAGTTGAATTCCATTTTTATGTGGCCCCGACAGTTTTGACTAACTATTCATATCTTAGTAAACACAAGAATGATCTGTAATCAGAATCGAACTCCTCTTCTATTTCTATTTCAAAGTTTTTGTTTTCATCCTTCCCATGAACCTCGCATCATCCTTTTCCATTCCTCACTTCTCCATATACTTTCACTCTATCTCTAGGAACGATTGAAAACTAAAAATGAAGTGGTTATCAAATTGACAAAGAAATTCACAGTGACAAGAAGATTGTTGTACAACACAAAACGGTGGAGTCATCATCAGTGACAAAATGATTGTTGTACAACACAAAACCCTAAGCGTTCAACCAGAGATTCGTGACTATATGCTTAATATAAACCATCTCAGTTGTATTGGTCACCAAATATACGCAGTCAAAGTAAAACCTAAATCGGTGGCCGTATAACCAACAGCCCCAGCTAAAACATTCAACCATTTGAGATATTGATATATGTTGATGTATTATTAACACAAAACACTACTATTTAATTGTATTCTCGAACTATATACGTTGTATAAACTTTTTAGATGTACATTTAGATTGCAACTGGGTAAGATTGCAATTCACAATTAATAATTTGGTCTCTACTGATTGTGACACACTATACATATATTTCAAAGGTTGAAAAGTTCAACAATGCATCACATAATTGACAGTTAGATGGGGAAATAGCTCATTCAGCTTATGTGTCATTCCTATACACCCATAACTCACCATTGCATTCACATAGAACTTTCGTGAAAAATCAAAAGTGGTATTATCCACACATTATTTGTTAATTATTGTCTTTTGATATTCTCCCATTCATTCATCCAACAACAAGAAATCGAGAAGGGTGTAGATAGCACCACCCAAATAAAAAATTATAACGGATCTTGTGTTATTCAAAGAAAAACTATGCCCTCACATCATATGATTGAGTCATGTAACTCATTTAATTGAGTGAACATTTTGGTCATAAGGATAACTTCTAAGCTTTGATTTTCTCTCTCTCTTAAGAATCTTAAGAAGAAAAGAGAGGTTTCATTAATATTTTAGGGGCAACTAATAAAATTATGAAATTATTACTATAGTATAAAATAGAGGTTCAAATTGCACTATTCATGTCTATTGTGAAATGGGGTTTCGATTTTGAATTAATTACGTTTTTGCTATTGTGTGTGTGGGGATTGTGCTTGAGCCTAAATAGCCGTATTGGGTTGCTACATTTGGGCCTAGGAAACAACTCTCACGTCTTTCGCCTGCCGACAATTTGTTTGACTAAAATACACACCTAGGGTTATGAATCTAAGGCTATGATTGAAAGTTGTGAGGGCAATTTAGTTATTGGAATTTGGGATTGAATGGGGTTCTGGGTGCGTTTGGTACGCAGATGGAACGGAACGGGACGGGACGGGACGGAACGAAGGTGTAATTTTTTAAAAAGACATAGGGTATATTTGTCTTAAAATGGTAAAACATTGCGTTCCACAAACGTGGAACAAACCCGTTCCAGGGGGGGAGGTGGGACGCAAAAACACTCAAAATCTGTCCCGTGGAACAGCCCGTTCCACCCATTTTTGGCGCACCAAACGCGGGACGGAACGCCTCGTCCCGTTCCGTCCCGTCCTGTCCCACGTACCAAACGCACCCACAAGGAACCCCGTTTTTACTAAAACCGATCCACCCTAATTATCTAAAATGCTTTAGACTTTTAAAGCATTCTAATTAACTACTTAGGATTTTTAAAAATAGACATTTGTTGGGTTACCGGCCAAAGTTAGTAAAATACGAAACAAGTATAGTATGTGAAAAATACATTCGTGTATTATTCGGCAACTTTGCTAAGAAAATATTTTGAGAAGATTCTACGATTTTTGTTTTTAAAATTTTTAATATTTACTTCATGTCAAATATCCATTTATTATTATTATTATTATTATTATTATTATTATTATTTTTGTGAAACGATAGAGTTAGATTAGTCGTCAGATTAGCCACCAACGTGGTTTGAACCCATGTTGTCATGCAAGAACTCAACACCTTTCCAGCACCACTTGTCAAAGAAATTTATTTTATTTCTTTGATAATATGTAAAAAAATAAATATCGAAAATGTGAATTTTATATGTCAAAATGTGTCAAAATGACATGTGTTAAACGTAATAAATACGGAAGTACGTGTATAACACGTGTATTGTCACATCCTGGCCCCTGTCCCCACCACATTCTGAGCTCGACTCCGCCGTAGCATGATATTATCCTTTTTGGGCCCCGACCATGCCCTCACGGTTTTGTTTCTATGATATTATCCGCTTTGGGCTCCGACCACGCCCTCACGGTTTTGTTTCTAGGAACTCACACGAGAACTTCTCAGTAGGTCACCCATCATGAGATTGCTCTCGCGCGAACTTGCTTAACTTCGGAGTTCCGATGGAACCCGAAGCCAGTGAGCTCCCAAAAGGCCTCGTGCTAGGGAGAGATGAGAATATACATATAAGACTTACAGGATCCACTCCCTTAGACGATGTGGGATGCTACTTGTATAATACCTTAAAATTATAAAAAAATGTGGAATATAATGAATCATTAAAACGTGTATGAAAAACAAAAGTATGTTTAAAAAACACATACGTACATATATAATATACATATTATCTGCAAATTTAATAATTATGTCACCGACCTTAAATGGCAGACATGAACAAATATTGAAGCAGAGTTTGTTTTCACACCTCATACTCTCAATTCCCAAATTATTTATTCACATTAAAAAAAGTAAGAAAACTGGACTAAGGACAAGTTTTGGATTGTTGTGCTTTTTTAATAAATTGTTTATGTTGTACTTTAAGAATAATCAGCTGCAAAATAAAACAGTTAAGCGTTTGATAAACTGTATTTTTAAAAATGTTGTGAGTATTATAAGCAATGTCTAGATGGATAAATAATGTCATTGTTTAATATAATAATTTGACAACATAAGACCTAATCCCCCAACTTGCTCCAATCTTTGGGGCAAATATGATTTTTAACCAAAAACTCATTTCTAGAGCAAATTTAGCACATGATTCCCCATGTTAGTGGGGATTGGCCCACCATGTATGTGTATTTGTTTTTAGTCCTATATTTATAAATTCATTGAATCCAATAGTTAAGATCTAATATGATCAAATCTAACGGTAAAAAATAAGATTTAATGATCCAAATTAAATCAAACGGCTAATGTAATTAAAAAAAATTATTTTATGTATTTCGTATTCTTTCATAGTGTTTCATGAGTTTCATGATGTCGGTTTAATAATTTTTCAATATTTATTAGAATCTAAATATTTTTATATTAAAATGTTCATAAATTTAAATTAGGATAATCTACATAATTTTCTTTTATAAGTTACTTGAAGAAAAAAAAAATTCTAAATTCAATTTTTAATAATCTCCGGCTAAAAGTTTAACCTAGAAGGATTGGAGGAGAAATATTATTTCTGAATTAAAATCTAAATTTTCTAAATTAAATATTTTAGATTTTAACCCAAATGTTGGAGATGATGTAATAGACTAACCTAATATCAAAGGGACAAAGTTATTTTCAAAATTTTCGTGAACAACTTTGCACCTGTTAACGGTATCTATTCCCATATTAACGGTCCCCTAATACCAGATAACTGAAGCTACGCGCGCAGGGTGGAGCTTTTACCGCCGTAGTGGAGGAGGTCAGGCCGCCCTAAAAACTTTAAAATTGGGGGCGAGTTTTTTTCCAGTTGCGCAATTTAGGTTTCCTTTTCTTTCCAACTCCAATTTCGTCTACTTACCAATTTGCAAATAGCAAAATCCCTTTCCGATTAGGAATTCAAAAACAGAGCAAAGTCCTTTTCCGATTCGGAATTCAAAACCAGAAAGAAAACCTTTTTATAAATCAATCAGACCTCCCCACAATGCTTGAACTAGAGCTTCGTGTTCGTCGCAGAAATAAAGGATTGGGACGGGTCGCCCGAGATCTGAATTCAGAGTTTAGCAGAAGTTACGATTTGGTCCAATTGGGAATTAGGGTTCATCCTGATTGGAATTGAATTGGGGATATTCGTCCGTTTCCGGGAAAAAAATAAATCCAGACTTTGCGCTGTGATTGACTTCGAGCGATGAGTTCTCACATGCTTTCGAACATGATGAGAAGAGGCAGAGCTGCTCCGCCTTCAGCCGCCCGAAAGCGCGGCGGCGAAAGAAGTAATTCATTTTTTGCTTTCTGTTTTTTTGTAATTTTCTTTTGGCTTTCTGGTTTTTGTAATTACGTTTCAGTTCAGCTAGTATCTTCAGATTTTGTGTAGATGGAGAATTCTTTTCTTTGTTGGTTAGTTTGAAAAGTTACAATGTGTGTTTTCTTACTCCTTGATTTTTCATGGTTTTAGAAACTGGTAGAAGACCTGGTGCAGTTGCAGCTGACGAGTCTACGGACAATGAACTGGTGATTCGGCCTCCAAAACTGAAGACACTTTCCTTTTTGTTAGAAGGGTTGTTTGAGAAAAGGTTCCTTTGTGTCACTTTGTTTTTCTTTCTTTCTGTAATTCTGAAAATTGGGTACCATTGATTTTGCATGCCATCAAATTTTGATGGGTTTTCTTTGTTTTTTTCAATGAAGGGGATCCGACCGAGAGGAGGCATTGGCATCAATAATTGAGGGATTAAATCGTAAACTAGACCATGAGTTTCTGGAAAACAAGTAAGCATATCTAAATTTTCTTTTATGTAAAAAAATTGTCTTGCTTTATTGCTAGGAAGTATGAAATCACTGCGTTATGTTTTCTTCGCTTTCCAGTACTATCAGAATAGTTGTGTCTTCACCCAAAGAATCATGTCATTGTAGAAGATTGATGTGTAGATAATAAGTAATAGGTAATTGGTAAACATGTGGGTTTTTCATTTGTATGTGGGTTGTGTGATCATGTATGTTGAGTCATCACTGTTTAGTAGAAGATCTAGATTGTGTAAATGATTTCTGAGAGCTCCTTTTGTGATTACTTTCTGTTTTCTTGCAGTTTTGCTACTTTTCTATTCAGAAGCTTGAATTGCCTAAAAAAGGGTTCTAACAGGGAGAAGCAGCTATCACTTCATGTCATTGGTTTGTTAGCTCTGTCAAGTAGCATGTATATTTTTATTTTTCTTTTGTTTTACATTTCTCTTGTAACTCTAACAGGTCTCCTTTTATCATAATGTCAGGCTTGCTGGCCATAGTCATTTGTTGCGAGGATAAGTTGTCCGAAATATACAAAGAGTTGCTTCCTGTATTTTCCAAAGTTCTGAAATCTGGACCCACGACCTTAAAGGTAGCTTAATTTTCATGATACTTCATAAAACCTATCAGTTAAATTTGTTTATAGGATTTCTCAAGAAGTTGGGTTGACCAAGAGATGTTTTGATACAGATATTGGATTGTTTGGCTATTGTGGCTTTCTTTGGTGCAACTAACTCGGAGGAGACAGAAAGTGCAATGCAAATTATTTGGAAGTTCATTAATCCTGAGTCTGCCTCAGATGTATGTATTCCCTTATCTTACCTTTATGTCTTAACCAATTAATTTCTTCTTTTGCATTTGTTTTGGAAAAAACTTTTTATATTGAAGAATTATGGATCTTTGTTTTACCAATTTTCTAACTTACTTTATAAGTTCCCATATATTTTCTCTAGTATTTCTCTAGTATTTCTAAACCCTATATTGAAGAATTATGGATCTTTATTTTACCAATTTTCTAACTTACTTTATAAGTTCCCATATATTTTCTCTAGTATTTCTAATGCCTACTACTACTACCCGGACCCTATAGTTATTATCTTCTGTAGCTTATTAGTATTTAGTCATAATCAATGGTGTCGTTGTTTTATCTGTTAGGTCAACACCCAAAACCATTCGGCAGAGATCCTAGTTGCTGCAGTATATGCTTGGTTGTTTCTTCTTACAAGTATGGAGGGATGGAGACTCAGCCACAACTATTGGAATGGGTAAATTTTTAACTCAACATAATGAGAAGTTCACTCAATTTAGAAATGTCTTGAACTGTAACCTTTTAACAGTTAAAATATATTTTCTGAAAAAAAAAACCATCTAATTGTGAAATAGTAGCAGTGAATCAAATTCTAATTTATTAAGTTCGTATTATTTACATGGTTTTGAGGACAAATAACAAAGATGAAAAATGCTATTTCTTTTTCTCTCTTCCTTTACATAATTTTTTACTCCATATGCCATACATATCAATCGTTGCCCATCTCTATCATGTTATAGAGTGAATTATGTTGTTTTAGCACTAATCGTATATGTACAAATTGATACAGGGCCATTTCTTACTTCTCAAACCTATTAGAGCACGATAATAAATTAGTCCGCATAGCAGCCAGTGAAGCGCTGGCTTTGATATTTGAAACTGGTAGTCTGGAGAAGTTCTGGAGTGAAGCAAAGGATCCCAGCCTCACAAAATATTCACACATGCAACTATTACTGAAAGAGAATGTCTTAAAGAAGTTAAACTGTCTTTATTCGGACATAAGAAATGAGAATGTTGCAAACAAAGTCCGTGAGGTTGTGAAATATTTTGAGGTAACTGTCAGTTTTATAATTTATTTCTCTGGCAATACATTAAGACAGAACCATTTAAATTGTATTTTTGTTGATATGAAAGTGTAGTAATTTGAATTATATACTTTCAGAGTTCTCGTCCGTCAGAATTTGTTCTAACAGTCAATGGAAAAGGACTAAAGTTATCATCATGGTATCAAATTATTCAGGTAATTGAATGTTTCATATTTCTCATTAATGTTTGTTTAATCATTTTCGGCTTGTTGTTATGATTTATAGTGTTTTCTAATCATTGTCATTTTCTTTTAAATATCTTGTAAACAGTTACAGTTTTTGAAGAGTTTTTTAGCTGGCGGATTTGAGAACCACATGAAGGTTGGTGTTTTCCCTCTTTCTGATTTTCTCAGCGTTCTTAATTTATGGTGGATTAACAATTTGGTTTATGCACCAGGAAAATGAGAAACTACAGAATTTGTTCGAGTTTAATCCACACAGAAACAAAAATTTAGGCCCAGAATTGTATGAATCTACCACTGATAAGGTTGGTCGTCTCTCTGTTTATCTTAGTTCATTTTTTTCTGTACCCAAAATAAAAAATTCTCATCTTTTGAATGTCTTGTAGTTAGTTGAAGAATTATTGATCTAATATTTCGACTTAAATTTACAGATTACTGTCTGTTTCTTTGTACCTGAAGAAAGAGATCCAGATAAACTGACAAAGGAAGATAGAAAGAAAGAGAGGGTTTGGGTATGGTTTTATTTCTGTTGTTATATTTGGACTGTTTTCTCTAATACGCAAAAACTTTTTAAGATGTACATATAGTTTCCTAAAGTAGGGTAATCCTTAACCAAACCAGGACATTTAGACTAACTTCCGTATATGCGTTGTGTGCAGAGGAATGCACTATTAGACAAGGCAAGAACACAACTAATGAGAAAACATCGGCTAATGTCACAGGTATTACTCGTGTTATCAAAAGAATATCATCTGTATTTTTCAATTGTGTTTGCCAAGGGTTGAAAGTTTACTTCTCATTTACTTGTCTGATTCCATGATGGTTCCTTCTGTAGGAAATGAATAGCTGCTGCTACGATTTTGAACAGTATTAAGGGATCTTCAATTTTAAGTTGTGTTTCATTGCTTTCTCTCATAAGTTAAGCCTTCTGTTTTCGTAACCCAATCGCGTTTGACATTTTGTAAGTTCTCATATCGCTGTTCCCTTTTCTTGAATGCATTCCTTTATGTTCGTTCAAACACCACAGAATTGGCCAAGGTAACATTTGAAAGACATGATCATGCCTTGCCCAATTCTGAATGGTTTAATTTGTATGAAAATGTTACCTTACATAACATGCCAATATTTAGCTCGGACCATAGTCCTATTTTCCTTCAGTGTAACAATGGCACCTCTTGGAGGAAATATTCCTTTAAGTTTGAGGCTATGTGGCTTCATCACCAAAGTTTCAATAAATTTGTTAAGGACAATTGGCAATGTAACTTCATTGGAAACTCAAATGATATGTTTCGAGATTTTGCTGAATGATTTGAATTCAATATTAAACGTTGGAATAGGGAGGTGTTTGGGAATGTGGAATTAAAAATTAAAGTGCTCATGCATAAACTTAACGCCATACAAAAAAGAAGTATAACATCCCAAAAACGGAGGGTATTGAACCGTAGCACAAACAATAAAAATGGATCTTAACCCTAATTAAAATGCGAGCACCAACAATTAATATTACGGTTTAATGGGATTCCTCTTCACTCGTAATTGAGAGGTTTTAGGTTCAATTATCGCCAAAAGCATATTTGAACCACATTATTACTAGCTCATTGTGAGATTTAACCTACTTCCACACCTCCTTAGGGTAGTACCTATGAAGGCTCACATTATTGGCAAAAAATATTTTCAAGTTAGTACTAAAGTTAAAAGGAAAGTACATGACTAATTAAATTAGTTAGTCTAAATTAAATCAATCAATACAAAAAGGAGACAAATTAACTCTAACTTGATCAAATTATATCAATTAGGGTTTAATTTCCTAAATTAAAGATTTTAATTTAATAAAGAGCTAAATTAAATAATTAGCTCAAATGAAATCAAATCAGAAAATCAATCCCACAAATTACAAGATTCAAATCGGGAATTTTAAACTAAGACTAAATCACTCACTTATAAACACTAGGCTCATTTTCATGAAAGAGACACTTGAGGAAGAAACAAAGCAAGCCAAGCCTTTGGAAAAACCAAAAGCTCTCTGGTCAAAGCAAACACCAAACGGACAAATTTATAATTTGTGTTCTTCATCAAGCTCATGGAGAATCAATAGGCACAACAAACACATGCCAATTAATCCACCATCAAAGTTGAAAATCACCTATCATGTGACACTACTCGTTGTCTTTTATTCAAGATTAAGCATCGACGACCCTTGAAGAAATCACAAGCCTGATTCAAGGTCAAGTGTTCATCAAATTCTACTTTGGAGATTGAATTAGAGGATCAAGCCGTGTACTCAGAGATTGTAGCCTAATTTTCTCATTTATATAAATATTTTATTTTGTACACATGTTCTTATTTGATTCGTTTGCAGAAAATTTCGTGTTTGGTTCGAATTATGACATTTATACGATAAAATAATATCATATCGTCATGTGAAAAGCCAAACAATCTTTTTCTTTAACGGGATTACACTCTCACCTAGTACATAAACCCCTTGTGTCTACTTTTATAACATGGGTCACTAGTTGTTCTGGTTGAACAACTTTCAATCCAACTTGGTACGAAAGAAGTGTGACTAACGAAATGAAGTTGAGGTTCTACTATAAAATCAATTTGAAAAATAGGGATTAGCAGAATTACTTATAAGCACATGCAACGTCCCTTCTTTCCCTGGAGTGGGATTCATAATCTCAACAAGAAATCTGATTTTACCATTTCAATTTTTTTTAATTATATTATTTATGACACACCCCGACCCGATATGTCCACTTGGACTTCGAATCAAGCTGTGATGGTCGATACCAAGAAGGTGACAAAGCCATATAGTGTAGTGATGTGGAAAATATGAATAAATTTAAACTTGAAAGTGACTAAATGCAAGATTGCACATGTGAGCGGGATTGAACTCATTTCACACATGATGTCAAAGCATAAGTAAAGTACAATAAAAATAGAATAAGAATTATACCATCGAAGGTAATCTCCTATATCAACATTTTCCAAGAATCCTCGTCGACACAAAAACTCTGCTACTAAAACTTGGAGGGGCGAAAAACAAGGGTGAATGGGTCTAAAAATAAATTGTTGTAAAAACCTTTTTCAAAAATGGTATAACCCCTAACATAATGGTATGAAAATACATACTGTAAACAGTAATGTCTCAAGAATGCAATACTTCACAATATCTCGCAAATAAACACATAACATCCAATAATCATAATATCTCGTATAAACAAACATATCACATTGATTGCTCATCGACATATGCTGACACACGAGTTCAAGCAGAGATATTCTGACATGAGGACACACCCCGACCCGGGATGTCCACTAGGACTCCAAATCGAGCTGTGTTGGCTGACACCTGGAGGGTGACGAAGCCATAAAGTATGATGATGTGGGAAAATGTGAATAAATTTAAACCTAAGATGCCTAAATACCAGAATGCGCTGGTGAGCGGGAATGAACCAACTTTACACGTGACGTTAGAGCATAAGCAAGTACAGTAGAGTGAATTAAGAATCGTACCCTCAAAATAATCTCTAATACTAAGAATCGCCATGAATCTTCGACGATAAGAAAGCTCAGCTAATAAAACCTGAAGGGTGAAAACAAAACAAGGGTGAGTGGCTCTGGAAATAAAATTTTAATAGAAACCATATAAAACATTATAACCCCTCGCTACAACACCTGTATAGTTTCCAGAAAAATCATAAGTATACCACAACACAGCATCGCATCAGCAATATCAATAATCATGTGATTAATAGCCCATACTAGCGCGCAAGTCGGAGTCACCTACAGTGACCTATACGACTTACCCATATCTCATCACATATGCTAGCTCATCACATATTACCTCACATATGCTAGCTCATCACATATCTCCTCACATATGCTAGCTCATCACATATCTCCTCACATATGCTAGCTCATCACATATCTCATCACATATGCTAGCTCATCACATATCTCATCACATATTTCGTCACATATGCTAGCTCATCACATATCTCGTCACATATGCTAGCTCATAAGTCGGAGTCACCTATAGTGACCTATACGACTTATCCATATCTCATCACATATGCTAGCTCATAAGTATACTTGCACACGAGTCGGAACCACCTAAAGTGGTCTATACGACAGGACTGGGTGTAAATAAATACGCTCAAGTGCTACGATCATGTGAAGACTGTGCGAATAATCGCGGGTCACCTACAAGTCGGAACACCTATAATGGTCTGTACGACAGGACTGTGCCCTGGCCACGGGCGGGAGCACTAACACCGGAGTGCATGTTTATGAGCTCTAACTGCATCTATTGTAACATATACGACTCATGGGCAACCTGTACGACAGTGTCAGAGTTGCCTAAAACATATAAGTAGTTGTACCATAACTCCATCATTTCAACTAATACCATAAACTCACCTGAACTTACCTGGGTGTCCTATGTTCACCTTTGCACTTCAAAGCGTTCCTAATAATTATATACAGGTAATATACATATAGATAAACCATGATGCAATCTGATACTCAACCATGTTATAGCATTTTTCAATTATATATAAGTTGTAACGCCCTACTCTCGAACTATTTATTTTCAGAAATAATTATCAGTGACAAGCTCAACTAAACATTAATTTAACTAATTATTAATACTTAATTATTTAGTCTCGTTTATGGTATGGCTGCATCTAACGTCTCGTTAGACTGCCTACATACCCTAAATAGGGATCAAGCCATTCGTAGTTTGCATTAGTACTTCAAAGCATTAACAATAATTATATGCAATAATCAATTTATGACTGTTTTTGGAATTATCAATCATATATATATATATATATACGCGCATATGCATATATATATATGCGCATACGTATATATATAACCAATTATCAAATCACATCTCAGAGTTCATACCGATAAAATACATAAAACACATCCCTACGTAATTCAATTTGAAAGATCTACATCACAAATTTCTAATCCGTTGCTTCTAAAGATCCACATTATACTTCTAGAACAACATCCTAAAGTCCCATTACGATCCAACGGTCGGATCTCCGCCAATTGTCAAAACCAAGTGGCGGTTAACCTTTTATTTTATGAACTTACAAATCCAATTCGGGAAGATCCATATCTTGGATTCCCGATCCATAAGTTCATATGGTCCTCAAATATTATGTACTATAACATACTAAAGTTTGGTGACGATCCGACGATCGGATCGTCGATTCATTTCTTTACCAAGTAATGTATCATAATGAGTTTAGGTCCAAAAAATCAACCTACGATATACAATTATCAAAACTGAACTCAAGACATCTAATTTAGCCTAAAGATAACATCGACAGTCCCCTAGCCAAGCGCCACCGTGGGTGGCGGTCTGCCGCCCGGACTCGCCGGAAAATCCAACTATTTCCAAAAATTACCAAAATTTACAAGAATGAAGATCTCAATGAGTAGAGTAACTTTTATACCTATGACCAAGGCCAATTTGGCCTGGAAAAGCCTTAATTTCAAGAAAATCCGACGGAACCCTAGGTTTGAGGTGCTTTGATTGGTCCTCAAATCAACTCTGCCGCTTCAACCAATGATTGGGCATTGTTTCTAGGCTCAAGGGAATTATATTGGTTGTGACAATTGAGAGTGTAGAAATGGCGGATTGCCACCAAGAACACCATGGTGCTGCCAATGCTCTTGCCACAAAACCAAGGCTAAATCTTGTCCAATTTGTGCAAAAAATTGAAGAGGAATGATCAATGAGAAGTTCCCAAGTAGTGGGCCGGTGCAATTCGCCGGAATTTGACCGCAAAAAGCACCGGATTTCATGCACTTCCGCCGGGTTGGGTATGGGTCATGGTGAACCCGGCGGTTCTCCTCCTCCTCTTCTTCTCTCCTTTCTTTCCTTTCCCCCTTCTCTGGTTGGTCACCTCCTCCTCTCTCCTCTCCCCATTCGTCCACCCCCTCTTCCTCTTCTTCCTGATTGGATAGTAACCCTTCTTTCTTTCTTCTCCCGTTCCACATCATCTTCTTTCTCTTCCTCTTTGAAAAATAATTAAATGATAAAGAATATCAACATTCTAAAATATATAAAAATATAAATAGTGACTGAAACAAAAGTACTTCTCGAGTTTACAATTCCGTAAAACTTTAACCGTAACCCCAAATCCTCTTCTGCTTGCGCCTACGAGTCCGTAATGTCGAGTACTTCAGAAAAATGCTAAAGGATTAATTCATACACATCACTATACGCTGATCAACGAAAGTCAATACCCTCGAGTATGAAGATTGGCACGGGTTGTCACAAA